CATTCACTGTGTCTCTAAGTTTCAGTACTAGAAGCACCAAGAAAAGCTCATTATTTGGAGCACATGTATAATTACATCTGTTTCAACACAATGCCACTTGAAACATTATTCTTTAAATGTGACTTCTCCCTCAATATGTCAAAATCAAACCATGGCATGACCTGCACCCAATAGCACATGCACAAGTTATCTGCACAGCATCTCATATTCTGCATGGATGGGATTGTTTCCACTTCAAGCAAGCTGTGGTTCATGCTGATCAAGAAAAGGCTGATGGAAAATGAGTACAGAGGCACTGCTAACAGATATCAGTTTCTAATATTTTCCATTCTTTGGAAAAACCACCTCTCCCTTTGTTGACCAGCTCCATAGATGAAATCTATGAAAGCCATGGTACGCTAATGACCACAACAATTTAAACTGTAAGAACATACCCTGCAACAAACAGCATTCACATAGGAATGAAAATACTTCAGAGATTATTCTTCAAGCCCATGTAGCCTCTAGCAATTAATAGTGCTAAGAAATATATGCTTGATTTTCATGGCAACATTCAGGTGCTTCTGACACAGGCTACTGGTCCATACTAGCTGGTTTACTAAGGACTTTCCCCACACTTTAAATGATGTGCTTTGGCATAATGCAAATTCTCAGCACCTATGCTACTATGCCTTAAAAAGTTCCTGTTCAAGTTAAAAGTATTTACAGTAGTTGTTAGCTTAAATGGGTTTAAAATGCAGCTTAAAAGTAGTCTGGAACAAAATCAGCTACAATGGCCCAAAAAACACACACACAACTCCTAATAACAGTCATGGAGATTGTACACTGATAGCACACATCATTTTGACATCATTAAACATTGCCAAAAATGACATAGTAAAAAAGGGGGTTATTTTAAATTTAATTTTTACAGGAAGAAACAAATGGGTTTTGCGTTGATGCAGGTTCTTCTATCAAATAAAGTTATGGTTAAATACAGCAAAGATCTGAGTCATTTCCACCAGAAATCCTGATAGATGACAAAAAAGGAACAATATCAACAGGATGGGCACAATCTGGAAAAAATTAAGAATCCAGAAGATGCTTTTATTCTTCTGTTTTTACTGGCTGTCAACATGAATAGCTAGCTTTGATTTTGCTGCATTTTTCATTGTTTTTATAAGCGGTTATGATCTAAGTCCCCGTGGTCACAAATTCTTGCAGAAGACCCTGGTGGAGGTAGCTTCATAGAGTATTATGCCTTTTCAATGGATAGCTATTGCAAAAGAAAATAAGAGGCAGACATAGCTTCCAAAAAGCTTTCATGGCCAAGGCAACTAGGAAGGAAATCAATTCACTGGTTGCCTTCAAAAGCCTCGATGAGAAAGCTCCTATGGAGATCAACTGGAAATTAAAGTTACTTATGAAAAAACAGAGAGATACCACTTGGGCATAATGAGACTAGCTGGGACAAGGAAAATTGCCTTACACTATGCAACAGTTATGCTGACTTTAGTCTATGAAGTACATTTTAAAAGAAAATTTCAGTTAAGAGCCAAACAGCCTGCAAAAATTAGCAACAGATTTTTTTCACTCTAGGAGCTAGAGATCGCAAAATGATTGACTAATATGTTCCAGCCTTCAAAAGAGCAGGGGAGCCCATGTAACAAAATACGATTTATTAATCATTTATGGATAAGAGGGTTGGAAGCATGGGGTACTGAGAAATACAAAAAAGTCCTGATTTGTGTCTCAGTTATGAGTGTGTAACAACTCCTCCAGCTTCAGAGAAGCACTGGTTCTTCTTTGAGCTAGAAGAGGTCAGAATAAGGCACAGAGCCAAACTGCGCTGCCGGAGATCAAATGCACCCTTCCCTAGTTCATGAAGAACTCAAGGGGCTGACATAATTCCCCATGCAGTATTTCACGTCCCTATCTCAACTTCCCCCACACAGGGGAGGACAAAGCTTCTCTCCACCAAGCAGAGAAGCCAGATTCAAAGTGGCAAAATAGGTTCTTCATTTTCTCAGATGAGCTCAAACAGGCACAGCTGTGAGGACACAAGTTCCGAAGGTCCTGACAAACAAGGTCCATGCCACACGGTATGGTCACACGTCTCTCCCAGCAGGCAGATTTCGTATTTACCTGAATGATCCTTTCTGTAAACTTTTCTTGCTCCTCTCGGTGAAGTCTTGTCTCCTGCTCAAGCTGAGCCTGAAGCTCCTGTATCGGTACATTCTGTACAGGTAAAACATGGGAATCCCTGAGCTGATGAGCAGGACAAAGGGATAGGTTTAGCAGAAAACGTGTCTCCGTGGTGTAAAACAAAGGAAAAAAGAACTGCAGGACAGACGTCTGCACAACTCACGCTTATCAATAGTTAAAACCAAAGCACAGCGTGCAAATAAATTGCAATGACCTAAATATGTGTGGGAATTTCCTGTGTGGCTTCTTCTGAAAACTAAAGCTGGGATGCTGATGTTACATGTTGGATACTCTCTTCAGGCCTCTGATCTGGGATTGCACTCCAGTAGCTGAGAGAGTGGACCATCAATGACATTTGCCAGATTAGCTCCTATTTAGAGTATTCCATATTTGGTAGCATATTTCTCTATGATAATCAATGCTATAAAATGTTAACATCTCTGCAGAAGATGCACCGAATGCATATATATTGAACCTAATTACTTATTCTTTTGCAACACTTCTGATTAGGCAGTTAATGGGATAGCATTTATTAAACCAATTAAGCATATAAGGTCCCTTTCTTCAGATACAAGACAGCTCTCTGCACAAGTCAACCTCATACTGTTATTTCTACTCCACAAATATCATGGTGATAAGCCATGTGAGCCTGAGATCTGACCAAAATACTGAAATATCTCCCCTTTCAGGCCCAACACTATTTTAATCTTAATACTTTCAATTTTATGTTCTCCTTAAGTTTGGCATCCCATCCACTTTACTTCCAAAAGTTACTTAATTCAAAAATAATGACCCAAGAAGGTAGAGTTAGGGACCTCCTTATTTATACTATGTTAATTAATCTTGTGGCATTTATATTCCCAATCAGAACTTTCTATGCCCTCATTTTGTGTCTCTCACATTGGAGCTATAACTGATTTGTCTGTACAAAGGTGATGCTCGGCCAGACGCCGTCCTCTTCACATGTGTGACCACATAAAACGCTATGGACCAAACTCCTACTTCCTAGAGTAAAAACATTTAAAGAAGAGATCACTTCAGGCTTCAAAGTGTAATCCCAAGCTCTCTGTTGGCCGACGTCCAGTGAGCTCCAGCCTCAGCAGCTGCAAGGATGTAATGCAGGTCGTGGGACCACTCTTGGGGACTTTGCTGTCATTTCCCTTCTGGCATCAGCCCTGGCACCCCTCTCCTCTCCGCAGGCACTCCTCCTGCTTCCCGAGAGCAAAACCAGCTGCTGCTGTTCTTCGGGCTGCAGCAGCCCTTTCTGGGACAGTTTTGGTTATTCAAAAAGTATTTGCCATTGGGACAGACGCTCCTCTCCTCCTCTAGGGAAAAAAGAGGTAAGGCAGATGGAACTATCCCATAAAGCACCTGCAGGACCATACGCCACAAAAATCACCCTGCACATACTTTCCAGGCCCTGTCAGTTCTTTTTTACTTCATTCACTTATTGACTTGTGCACGGCTATTTTGTACCTGAGGAAGAGACACTTCCAGCCCCCTGAAAGGTACACATAAAGTGACCAAGAGGACATTATCTGCCTTATGGATTTCATCTTGCACCTTAACGTGTCTGCAGACATTTTGTATTGCACAAAACCAAAATTTGGTCTTAAAATAACCTGAAAAGAACTGCTCGCAATGGGATTTGCCAGTTTTGCACAATCGTTTGTAAATCGTGAGATAGCTACACGCAGGTATATCAGTTTAGATCTCTCATCCAATAAAATAAAATTTACTTTTAACAGAAATTTCTGCATTCTTTTATTCTGATCCAGCTTCTTTAAGAAAATGGTAAATAAGAACCAATGTACCTAGTTAATTCAGGTGTACTGAATTAAAAAAAAGTGTGTTCTTCCTTTTTATGAATTCAAAATCAGCCAAAATCATGCAAAGTCGATCCGGTAAAAACAGAAACAACATGACAATGCAATAATCACTTAAAAAAAATCTTATGTGCCTCCAGAAATGGAAACAGTATGATTCATATAAAAATGCATACAGTGTTAATTTAAAATATAAAGGAAGCATAACCGATCAGTCATATTGACTGTCCTTACAGGCATACAGTTACACAGTTAGATAGTTAGATATATTTTTGGTCTTGGGATTCCTGAAACTGGAAGCTGAATCAGAGCAGCAAAAGTTACCAGGAAGGTAAGGTTTGAATTTTTCACTATTCATTTCACACTTGTTTTCCAGTGAACAATGATTTGCTAAAAGGTAATTTATTCTACTTTAGACTAGATTAATTGGAATCACATAGTTACGTATATACAGACAACAGTTGATGTCTGCAAAATTAGGGCAAGAAAATTATAAACTCATGCAATTTTTTTATAAACATGCAGCCCATGCAAAGCCAAGTTTCAGTAAACTTGGGTGCTGGGACTGTGTGATAACTGCTGGAATTACTAGGAAGAGCTAAATACATCATAAAAGCATATAGACTATTACATGCACACTAGACAGTGCAAATAATTTTTATAGTTGCGTTGCCTCTTTAAGTATGATGTATTTTTATAAGCAGCAAAATAAATGTGTTGAAAAGCAGTTAATGCATGAACACAGAGCTTCACACCTTTTGCCTTCCAGCACAACCTGAGGACGCTTCATAGTCCATAATTTCATATAACGTAATTTCTACCAGAAGCACAGGGATTACTACTGCTCAAATTAAGGGAGATAAGGCTGCTTAAGCACCTAATAGATTGCTGCTAAACATCTGGATTGTGAATGGAGAAAGTGTAGAAATGTATCATGTGATATTTGTATATGCAGTTCGGGTACCTGGCATTGCACTGACAGACATCTTTATGTTTATATGTGGATATCAAGCCCCTATGATGTAATCAGCAGGGTGTAACATGTGGCACAACTGTGGTTTTCTTTTGTTTTGGAAAACAGCTCTGCTACAAAATGGACACAAAAGCTGATAACCTGTTAACTTCCATTCTTTGTCTCCTTTGTACTCATTAACGAACATGAGGAATGGAAAACACCTTGAATGTGAAGGCAACCACACAAGGGACGGACATCACAGAAATAGACACAAACTCACTACAACAAGACATACAAGCACACTATAGTGGGAACTACAAGCTAGTGCTACTCTATCACAGCACCACAGAAGCAGCTGCACTTCATCCACAGCTCAACACCAAGCAGCAATTTCCCATGAATCCCAATTATTGCAATTCCAGATCCACTTCCACTCCCATCCTCTTGGACAGGCAGTGCCAAATCCTTCTGCCGAGTCCTTTTCTCTCAGCTGTTATCACTCCAGAACAAGCTAATCCTCACCCATGTTTTTACTTCAAGACGATGTTGAGAGAAAAGTAATCCAGGCTTTGGGGGCTTTACCATCACTCCCTCATTGCACTGACCCTCTTCTGCCCCTCTCAGTGTGTTGAAGGCTTTTCGGGTTACTTTTCAGCTTGCACAATCCCATGTTTCTGCCATGACTTTTTTTTACAATATTGCCATGCACCATGAGGTACGTCTGGGAAAACTTGTCTGTTTTCTCCATCGTACCATAGCTAATTACAATTTCAATTTGCCTGCAAACTTAAGCTGTTTATATGCAACCACTGTGCACATGAAATTTCATGGAATCTTTCTTTTTTAGCCTTTTTTTTTTTTTTTTCCCAGAAGGGATGCAGCAAAATAAGGCCTGAGGAGGCAGGGTAGAAAGATGCTCGCCAGCATTTGTGTGCAATTCCAGGAAGGCAAAAGATGAATGTTTTACGTTTCTAACCTTACATTTGACCACGCAGTCTAAAACCTGCTACTTTTTCACACATGACAGCTGACCATTGTATGTATACAATCAACCAGACTTTTTACATGCAATACACATGTAACTGAATTCTCAGAGGCTGCTTCTGAAGATGTACTCTTCTCCTCACCCCTTAAAAATAAATTACACATATTCCATTTGCTGGTGCACAAGAGGCAGTTGTGTTGTTATTTGTCAGTGCTTATATGGAGAGTCTCTGATTTTGGGAAAACACAGAACACTTTGCTCCAAGTCTTTTAAAATCCATCTCATTGTATGGGTAGTACACAAAGTCTCACCGAGTTCAGTTAGGACTGGGATATCCAGATTTACATCATAAAGAGTCTTTTAAGCCATTATATTGTCAACCTTTATGGAATCTTGCATAGCAAGAAAGAATACAATTCATCAAAGTAAATTATTTTTGCTGCCCCTAATCTTGGTGGGAATGAATACTGTCAGCACCAGTTTGTCTTTCTTCTTCCCACAACTTAGCATTGGAGGAATAACGGACACTAAAAGATACAACTTTCTATGTGGCCTTCATTTGTTGTTGTGGGGTTTTTTTGGTTTTTAGGTTTTTTTTCAGAAGAAGAAGGAAAAGTCACAATGTATAAAACATTCACTGTTTCCTTTCTGGGAAAACCAAATCTTAAACCAGGGAAAAAGGATGTGTAAATTTTCAGCACATGGCTGGGAGCTGCTGCAAAAGACATCCAGCTGAAAAGCTCTCACATGGAATTATGAAAACTGCACAGAAGAAGCACAGACACTCCAAAACCAGCTAAAAAGAGAACAATCAAAATATAGACTGAAATGCTCCTCATATGTTGAAAATGGATCCTTACAGAATTTTTAGTTCAAAGTAGGTGGTAAAGTAACTTACCTAACTTCCACATTACTGGATCTGGTTGGTTCACACTTAACCCAGGTATTAACTTTGAGTAATAGAGGTGTTTTATATTTATTATGAGCATGATAAGTAAGGAAAAAGGATAAACAGATTGAGAAAGGCCTAGAAGAAATTATTCTTCAGTGTGAGCTCTTCCTACTTTATTACTAGACCTTGTGGAAGACTTGCTTTTTAAGACATGCTCTCACCTTCTCCAACCTATCTGCTTTTATTTTAATTCTCTGGTGATAACCTGTTCCTTTTAAGTGAATTCACTTCAGTGCTTCTTTTTCCATAACCTGGGAGTGTCAGAGATTTTGTGGCATTTTTCTATACAGAAACAAATGTGTAAATCTTTATAAACCATGTATGAAAATAATCCCAATCCGAAATGCAAGATGAGTGCTTTTGCCTTTGCTACTTACTCAGATAAGGGCAGAACTGATACCCTCTGAAGCAACAATCAGAGTTAGGAGATACAGCTCCATTTTAGAGCATCGGGTATCAAATACTGCAACAAACTATATCTAGTAATTTGAAAGAGTGAGATTTATCATCTCCAGCATGTCTTCTTGTTTCTGAATAAACAGGAGGAGACTGCTTAAGGAAACTGCTTTTTGTTTATGGATATTCCATTGATAAGAAGGGTAAAATTCACCAGATCAAAAATTATTTACCATTTTTCCCACTGGTTTCCATTTATTGCCATAGTAATCCTTTGATTTGTGCTAGGCATTTGCTCCATGAAGCATTGTGTTACCTTTTTTAGTTCCTCCCTGTCTTTTAGTCAGGGCAATTCTCACTTGTTCACTCACTTTTTCTTTGGATGGTAAAGAATTATTTCCCGCTCCCACCATAACCTGGCTCTGCTAAAATCATGAATAATGGATCAAACATCCACCCCAATGGGCTCCAACCCCCACAATAGCAGCTGAATGGTTTGTTTCTTTTTAAACAAAGCCCTGCTCTTAAGGCAGTTTCAAGATATAATTTCCTTTGGACTGTGACTCTAACCCACTTCTTTAACATGCAAATACATTCTAGTAATACTGTTGCACTAAAAACTGCAGTGCAAAGCCCAAACAAAGGCAGATGTTTACAGTTAGGCTATGGGGTAGTTTTAAGCACAAGTCAGTCTGCATTTATTGCATTTAATCAAACAGTCTCCCACAATGCCTGCTCATTTTTAAAAAGAGGAGAAATGGCTAAATGGAAGCTGCTCAGCATTGCTTGGGAAAATTTTCATTTAAAATTCAGCTTGTAAAGACTGAATTTAGAAAAGTGGGTTTTCTTGCTTAAAAGAAAACATTTGCCTCACTGAAATGAAATGTGTTCTTCTCATGCTGAAAGTCCATACACAGTAAGAAGATCATCAATCAATGTTATCCACTGGCCAATGCATATACTTTCACTTCATAAGTTAAAGCAGATAGCAGCTTACATGTAGCCATCTCTGCTGTGGGCATTGAAAGGTTTGAGTCTGCATCTGAAATTTCTGTGGTATTTTAAAAAAGCCTTTGGTATTTGAATAATATTTTTTCCTACTCATTCATCTGGCACAAAAAAATTGGCAGTTTTTGCTGATGCAGTGTATGAAATTTAAAAAGACTAAAAATGATACCATACAAAATTATTTGAAGGACTCTTCTGCTTCATTTGGGTTTGACTGTTAGAGATTACAAGATTTCAACTGGCTGTCTACCCACTGAAAAGTTTCAGTGTAATATTCTTTGTTGCTTAGGCAGACCTGACTGAAACAAAAACCTTAAGTCTTCAACATTTTCTCAGGTTGAGCCATTTGAGCCCCAGCCTTGCTCACCTTTTGAGCACATCTGGACTTCAGCTGGATATTTTCTACCTTTGATTATAATTACTGGCTTGTTCCTTGTCAGGCTATGATGTGAAAACTATCCATCCTCTGTTTAAACACAGTTTGCTGTACACAGTTTCAGTACTGTGCTGTACATATCATCCCATCCTGGGAGAGGAAAAAAAGATGTTGTGCCAAAATTACCCAAATCCCTAATCTTAACAGAGGGCTCACATATACAGGATTTCATATAATAATGAGCCTGATCTAAGGTAAGAGGCAATTAATAAAGATGACAGAATTTAAACTGAAATACTGTAAACATTTGCTGTGGTGATTTTCTGACCTAATCTACCATAATTATTGACAAATACAATTGCAAAAGGATCCATGCTGAATGGCAAGGTTTCTCTACCTCATCATCCCATTTCACAGCTGAGGAAGAAAGACTTTACCTTTTGTAGCATCTGGCCAATCTATGTTCATGAGAGCAGCTAGGGAGATGTTTACTGAGGCTGATACAGCCTCTGCATGGATGAAGACAAATAAAAACTGATCAATGTTTTTGATGAATGGAAAAGTACTTAACAACCCAAATGATGGAGAATTCTGCTTAACATAATGTATTTTAGAAGCTGCAGGGTGTTGTGTGACCTGTTGAGAATTACCATGTACACCAGCACCAAACCCTCTCCTGCACAGGCTATTGCTAGGCAAAATGCAAAGCAGTCTCTATCTGTAGATTTTTCAGTTTTAAAATATCCAACAAAGTGAAACCTGGAAGCATGATCTCACATCAGGGATTACAACCCCTTCCAGAGATCTTTCAGTACTATACTCAATTGTCAGGGGTCCCTGAGCAATATTTTCCCACTTAGCAAAGCTACTAGAAGTTTCTCTGAAACTGCAAGGGGGAAGAGAGGTCAACCACAAATTTCACAACAGGGGTGCTGTGTTTGGTCCAATTTATACCCCCAACCCCTGGCTTCTGTTACTCATCTCCTGGCTAAGGCAGCAGGAGGCAGTGAGTAAGACGGGCTGCTTTGCTGACCTCTAGACTGAAACAGCCCTTGTCTCCTGGCCTGTAGAGTTTAATGTCTCCATCAGCTCTGCGGTGTGGGTCGGTGGTGGCTCGCTGGTGGTGAATCTCTCGCTCCTCTCCACGATCTTGTTTGAGCTGCCATTCCATCTGATCCCTCAGTTTGGACTGTTAGGTGCATGGGCGGTTTATAACAAAAAAAACAAAACGACAGGAGGGAATAAAGAAAACAAAAATGGGTAAGGTAGACGACTGAAAAACTACAAGACAAAGAAAAGCGTGAACAGGAAGACCAACTTAAATACAGTGGCATAAGAAAGTGAAGAGAATAAAACCAAAATGAGGATGAGCAAAATGATGGGCTGAAACATCTGAAAAGCAAAAAAGAGAAAGAGAGGAAAAAAGAATGCAAACACTGGTTATGAGGCGCATGCAATGAGGATGCATGAGTCAAACCAACAGCAAGCATACAAGTCATGAAGGATACGGGACACAAGGTTCTTCCTTCCTTACTTGTGCTTTGCAGAAAAGCCATATCCAGTGTGGCAGTTGTGGCAGTTTAGACATGCGCCCATGGGCAACGCTTTAGGCAAGGCAGTCCTTCGCTGGCTACTGAGCTTCTCACTCGCTGCTCGGTTAGGGGAGTGAGCTGTAAGCAGGCTTTTCAAAACACATCACTTAAGAAAACTGCGTTTGGTTGGGTTCTTTGGCAAGGCTTTTGAGAACACCCTGACCCTTTTATGAGAGAGCATAATAAAGACCTCCTCACATTTCTTAGCAAGGCTGCTAATTTACATTCATCAGATTTTTTTTTTTTTAATTAATCTCTTCTTTCATGGGGAAACACTGCTGTTACAGACAAAAAGAAGACAGATCTCTATAGCACCAGTGGATTAGCCTTTTTGCCATGAGGAACCGCCTCTGAATCAAAGGAGTTGTGCAAACAAACAAAAGAAAAAAACCTATAAAGTGTTTGTTTAACATTACACATTGTAATACATTGCGGGTTTGAAATCATAACAAAGCAGCAGTGAGGAAAATTAGCTCTAGGGTAGCAATGCCAGCAAGAAAGAGAAACAATAAACAGAAAGAAGGCAAACAAGGGGCAGACCTACCTGGAAGTCGGTGATTAACTCCTTCCCCAGGTTACCAATGGGAGAGTCTCGAGACATGGATGTCATTGTGGATAGAAAACTGGAAGACTCTGTGAGATGGGGAAGAGGGGAGAGGTCATCCATCTGCTCCTTAAGGCCCTCCCCAATGTGATCAACCTTCTCCAGGAAGGTCTGCAGCTCCTTCCGGAAAGCTTTCATCCTGGAGTTGATGGTGTTCAGAAGCTCTGGTTCATGCTTATCTTCTTCCCTTTCCTCACCACGTTTGAAATCCTGCTCAGTGGATGGGCTGCTGGTTACATGCACCTTTGCATCATAAATCAAGCTGTCCGTATCGGTGATAAGGCGGTCCACAGTCCTTTCAAGCCGCTCAGCCTCACGTTTGATGTTAATTAAAGACTCAGTGCCCTCTTTCACTCTCATGAGCTCAGCGGAGCACAGGTCACTGACTTCCGATGGCTTCCCGCTCCCAAAACCCGACGTCTTCTCATAAACTTCTTCAGAGTCGCTCTCACCCCCAATGGGCCCCTCTCTCTTTGGCTGGGGTGGGCGACCTTCTTCGCTGTCACTCTCCTTCTTCCCGGCATCACTGTCGGCATCGCTGTCCCTGGGGCTGGAAGCGCGCAGGCCCAGGTGAGAAGCAAGATCGTAACGCTGGACATTGGACATCAGGACCCTGTTCTCATACTGGAGTTTCATCACTTTTCCACTCAGCTCATTGATTTGCAACCTAGCCGACTTCAGCTCCTCTTGCAAGGTGCCGCCGCACTTGGACGCTGCATCATCCAACCAGCTTGGCTCCTGGCCTGGCTCAAACTTGAATTTGTTCAGCTCGTTTGTGAGCTGCTTGTTGTGATCCTCAATTTCAGAGATCGATCGTCTCAGCAGTTCTGCTTCCTCTTCCACAAACTGCAGGTGCCGGCGCAGCTCCGTGGCTGACTCCACGGAGTCGCCATAGGGCGAGGTAGGAATGCTTGAAATGTGGTCCCTGCTGAGACACTCTTTTTCATACTGGCACCTCATATCCTCCATTTCAGCTTTAATCCCCCTGTTCTCCACCTCCAGTTCCACTATTTTTCTGCCCAGTATGTTGGCTTCCTCCTCCACCAGCTTCAAACGAAGCTTCAGCTCGGCCTCCCTGGTGCTGGGTGGGCCCCCTGCCTCCCCAGTAGGCAGGGGACTGTCCACGTCTCCATAGATGGACTTGTACTTCTGGAGCTCCTGCTCTAGTTCGTCCTTCTCCCTCCCCAGTTTGGCCATCTTCTTACGCATCAGCGCTGCCTCCTCTTTGGCAAACTGGAGCTGGCACTTCAGATCAGCGCTGTCCTCCTGCCAAGAATAATCACCCCACCAAAGATTATATCAGAAGCACAATCAGTTGCTCACCTTCCAAAATCTCCACCTCCCCTCCCTCTGAGCTGTAGCTGTTAGGTATGCAAACAATACATAGACAAGAGCTGCGCAAACCACACAGTTGACACATTTCACGGCTTGGTCCTGGTTAAATTGGCAAAGCAGGTTGACTAAAGTTAAAGAGAAGGAAAAAAAAATGAGTGTGCCATTGCAAGTATTCAGTGATGCAAGAGTGCCAGCACAATGCTTAGTTCTCCTCAAATACTGAGTAAATTTTGTGGAAAATAAGAATGAGTCAAATGAAAAGGTGCCACAATTTGTTGGCACTTTCTGTTCCATTTATGTTTAATGATACATTGGCTCCCTTTTAGCACGATGAGACAAAGACTACTCAGATGAATTTGCCATCGTAATCCAAAATCTCAGGCTTCTTCAGCTTAAAAGCACAAAAAAAGTGTGCTGAGATGCATGGTTGCCTTGCAAAATGAAGACTTTAATTACTGCATCTCACAGTGCTGTGAACTGGCTGGAGTGCCTAACTTGTTTTCCAAATAGGAAGCACTACTGTTGTCTCTGCTGCTGTTATTCTTAGGATGGACCAGATTGTGATCACTGTTGCTGGTATGGGCAACTGTTCACAGGGGAGATTGGTGAAAACATGTGAAAAAGAAAAGAAAAATTAATTAAACCATAGTTACATCCAAATCCATCCTATGTGAAAATCTGCGTTTTTCAGGAAGACCCAGGGTATTAAATGAGAGTTTGATTTTTTTTGTGTGTGTGTTGGGCATTTTAAAGCACTGCAACTCAACTCAAATGGAAACTCTAGTGTGTATTGTGCTGAAATAAGAGACAAGGTTAAGTAAATTCTAAGCCGATGAACAATTTCTTTGCATGAATCACTTTCATGAATTGTCATTGAGATACAGGCACTTGGCCTCATAAGAGACACATTTATCAGCATTAGCAGTACAATGGAAGGCAGGCTTTGAAAGATGATCTCTTGAGACAGCAGATTTAATCCTGGTTGGTAGGCCATGTGGACATATGTGCAAATATCTATGGAAACGTAATTTCAGTCTCCAGAGCGCTGTTATCTTTCACAAGCACCATTTTGCTGTAATTCCTAACAATGGCAACCAAATTCAGAAAAAACATGTCTGATTTTAATTGTTTACCCAGATCAGGCAATTAATAAAATAAAAAGATTTACAAAACTAATTATGGCTCAGCAATCTGAGGAAATGATTTAATTTATAAAGCACACATTCTTGCACATTGGTAATGGTGTCTTTTATATTACTTAGATTAATTTCGGCCCATTCTATTTAGATATATACTAATTATGTCTTAATTTCAGACATTAATACCTAAACAGCCACAAAAGTAATTGGTTACATACTACTGAACTCAGTCAGTTTTCTTACTGATTCTGCTTGGCCTAGGTTCGAACTTTAAAATACTAAATAGTAAAAAAAGTTTAAATGTTAATAAAATGATAGAGGCAAACAATATCCAAAGTTTCTGTCAATATGTGGTTTTCAGTGATAACCAGTAGTCAAACACAACTGCAATCCATTGATCAGTCGACTGACTAAAACTCTGGTCATTATGTTTCTGGCAGCAGAAATGTGAGTTTTCTATGAATACAATCAAGGTGCATATAATTGGTTAGAAGCAGAGCCTCTAGAAGATCAGCTTGCTTTGCTATCATCTCCTCCCATACACAGACCTCATAGTCACACATATATTTGTAAATTCCTTTTCTCTTTATAACTCAAAACTGTAAATTGAGTATCAGATTTAAACCTGGGAAAACTCCATGCAGCCTCCACTGGAGTCACTGAGTATTGGTTGCTCTGTACGATTAAAGCATCATCTTTGGTCAGGGCTGCACAATATATTACCTCTGTTTTTCCTCTCATCGAGAATCAGTTTGTTCCCGCAGCTGTAGGCTTTGCTTTTAGGGAAACAGAAAGATCACAAGGAAGGTTACATCCAGACCACTGCTGCACATCAGAGCTCATGGGTGGGGCAATCACTCCAGTTTATTTATTTATCTGTTAATAGCTTGGAAATAATCACATCTGACATTTTCCTTATTCTGCATTTGCAATCCAGCATTTTCCCAAGTGCTTCTTGTCTACCTTTGGCTGCCCAAAGCTGTTGGTGGCACTAGCTGGCATCTCGCACCTCCCTGGCTGCAGGGCCCCAGAGCGACACGGGTGGGGAAGGGCCAGGCTGCCCTCTGCCCCCTCCCCATCTGGTAGCACCAGGGGCCAACTCCTCCCTGGGGCTCAGAGGGGACCCCAGCCTGATGCCCACTGCACGCCTTCAAGCAATACAAATAAGACACTGAGTGCCAGTCAGGACAACACACTCAGCATTTTGAAGCTTTTGAAGAAAAGGGAAAGGCTTTGATGGGTTTGGGGTCAGGGCCCCAGTGTTTTTGCTCGGCATCACTGTACGACTCAATGCATCTGTGGAGTTAGGGTGTTGTTATAGCAGGAAAAAAACACCATTAAGTTCTTATAACGGCATTACCTTATCGCTAGGTTTTGTCTATGAAAAAAAGGGTCACATTTGTAAGTTTTAGTTTTTTGCAAAAGCTGAAACAAACAAGATTTTTTTCATTAAACACAAGCCTCATACAAAACAACAGAGCTGATAGATGTTAATCTTGCCTACTAAATACGGATCCCTTCTGGAAAGGTGAGAAAGCTCTATATCTTCCCCACTTCTCTTCCAGGGAACACAACTACTGAAAATCCCATTCCCTGGACAGCTCTTTTCCAAAGGAAAAGAATGGTCAGGAGAGATTTATCAGTCAGATCAAAGCAAGCCAGAAGGGTAGGACTCCAATCTTCATGCATCTGTCCCTCTGAAACTTTGTGTACAGAAATATCAGTGATTTCTTGATCAGTTGAAACCAAGTAGAAACAGCAAGAGGGTGAGACACCCACACAAGTCAGTAGAGTTTTGATATATAAGGCAAACTTAGAAGAGGCCAAATCACTGAGATTAAGAATAGTTCATTATTAGTTAAATCACAAATGAAAAAAATAAAAGGTGGGGGGAAAAAAAAAAGGGAGAATACAGTCTTTCCATCATTTTGGAAGAACAAGAGGTTCAAATCCCTGGGGCTGAAAGCTGGGTGATGGCACAGCCTAACTGTATTTCACATCTAGTATGTGGACAGTTTCCTAAAAGGTTTATGTAGGGAAGACTGTATAGAAAGAAAATAAGGAACAACAGTGCAAAAATGTTCTGTCAGTCATAGTGCTAGTCATGAACTCTAAGAGATCATTAAGGATAAATGGGATTTAATGATTACTGATGATTATTTGCATGCAATGGCATTACAGCTCTGCACTGCACTTCAGAGGGATGTTAATGGGAAAAAAAGCAGAAAGAAAAAACTCAGATCCCTCCCTACAGTCTGCAGTCTAATTTAGACAAATGTAGAATGTAGATATAAAGAAATGAAACTTAAAGGAAAGAAATTAACTTAAATTTATTATGCAATGTAAATGATATGATGAGAATGAAGAGCTGATCAAAAATTCCCAAATATGATATTTCTTTTCTGGCAAGAAGAACACAAAGATAGATAGAGACCAACACCATCTCCTCTACCACCACCACCGGCTCAAGGGAACTGCCAGGCAGAAGATGGGTAAGCAGTTTTGGGGTTGCAAGTCTGATGACAGGGCAGTACAACCAGCACCCAAGCATATGGTTGAGTGTCAGCACTCCTACCTTGCGCTGGAGAACCACTTTTCTTTGTGTTTTGCCTGGTGGCTGGTATTTTCCAAGAAGCTCCGTTTTGCAATTCTGCTGAATAAAAACTTTTTTTCTTCAATACTGCTAGAGGTGGGTTAGTGCTACTATGAATTCTGCTTTTGTAGGACTTTAAGACAATAAATTTCACAGGTACTATTTACTCGATGTGCCTTGTGGTGGGTGCAATCTTCCAGCTAATTTTCATTATGAGCTCCCAGTAAGTAAAAACACTGGTCTTGCTGTATGCTATACATAGCTGTAAGCATGTGGATGCACAGAATCTAAGTTTGTGGTTGCTTTTCACAAAACACGTAATGGGTATTTGAACTGATTTTAGGTATTTAAGGCAGCTGTCCCTAAAAAGCAGTGTTTTGAACCAGCCCCCTGGGCTGTGTCTGTACTAAACCTTTTGGGCCATGCCACAGGACCCAGTGGCTATTTGACCAGGTTGGGCACTTGCTGTGGTGCACTCTGGTCTCAACCAGCACATACCTCTGAAAGGATACCTGGGTTTGGAGACAGCTCTGGGTAGCACCCTAGAGTTGGGAGAGAGCAAGGACATGCACCTATAGGCTGGGCCATGTCAATGTATAAGATTTTTTTCTCAGTCTCCCACCCTAAAGAATTGCTGAAAAAACCTGAATGGCCACCTTGCACAGTGCTGTCACAACTGTTTTTGTTTCAAGACCAAATCCTTTGCTTGCTTGAGTTACGATGTGTGTGTACAGTGCAAAGGTTTTTTCCTTGAGTGGTTTCTGAGATCACTTCCCCACATTGTGAGTGGAGCAGAGCTGACTCAGGGTTAGTTGGATAATTTTATGAAGTCCTTCTTAAGGCTTTCCAAGGCAAACTTCAGCTGCTGTTAATGCCTGGATTTGGGTGGAGGAGGTAAGCACAAGGAATCCGTTCCCTCTCCACCACTCTGTATTTCCAGGAATGAGGAAAGGAAGGACAGTGCCACCTACAAATGCCGGTGGACACAACCGTGCCTTCATGTAGCTTTATATGTGATTTGCATGTGTGCGGGCACATATATATATTTAATCCATGTATTTTACAGGCTTGCACAAAAACAATCTCTCTGACCTGACTCACAACTTAAAAAATTCTCTGTAGCAGGCACTCCAGGTGGAGAGCCCAGTGCCTCATTCTGAGGTCTGATGAAGCCATGCTTGTATTGGCTTGGCAGGGATGCTTGGTCTGCTTTGTCCCGGGAAAGCAGGCTGCAGCCCCTGGCCACCATGAGCCCCGGTTTGCCCACCCTACCCACTCAAGTGCAAGATGATACAATGATTTATTATGGTTATTATTACAAATCAATGGATTTTAAGACTTCATTGACTCAGAGAAGACCCACAGGGTCTCGGTTGCGTACACTGGGCCTGCTGAGGGGGCAGCAGGGGAGGTGTAATCTTTCTCTAGCAAAGGCATGATGTTGCTCTTGGCTCCTTTTGCTGCAAGGTGAAGCACTAACCCCACCTCTCCGGCTATAAACAGTAACTGTACGGATGCTGGGAAAAGCACAAAAAGCAGAGGAAACTGGGCAGACTCCTTCCCTGAGAAGGATCAGCCTACAGGATTTCAATAAAACCGGTGTCTAACTGGTGCTAACTGGTGACTGAGTGGGTAGCTTAGGCTCTGTGCTGTATCTCAGCCTGGGGGAGCACAAGTTCACATGTTGTCCCCCGACACCAGAGAGAGATGAAACCCGGGGCTGTGACATGAGCGCTCACAAGGTGCCATTACAGCACGTCAACCGCATCCCCTGCCAAGATGCTCATTAGCACAAAATCTTTGGCACCGCATATAAATTTAGTTAGTCCCTAAGCTGTGATCCAATTACTTTGTGAGGCAAGGTGATTTTCTCTTCTTACAGAAAACCTGCAGCCTGAATCTGCAGATACAAGCACAACAAGCCCAAGAAGCTGCACAGTTTAGAGATCACACTTGTGTCCTAAATTGCTTCTACATTATTTCTGGTAGGTTTAATTGCACTCTAGTTAATGTACCTGATAGCCTTGTCAACACCCATAAAAAGAAATTTTCAGTTTTATCATGTGATTTTGCTCAAAATTGCATGTTGTTGAAAACCATACCTGGGTAAATGCCTTTTTTTCTTTATGCATTTCTCTGCTGCCTCGTCTCTTCAGGGAACTCTGCAATAGAAGCAACACTGAGTTATTGATAAGCTAAATACAAAGCTTGCAAGTTTGTCAGGGCTCATCACCATAAAACTAATCGAGGAGAAAGCAAGAATATTCTCCTGAGCAGCTGGGGGTTTAATTTTTTATATTATCACTAAAAAACCAAGATGATCAGGGCTTTGTTGGTGAATTTTTCAATGAGCAAAATTTCCCCCCCCCACACACAAAAAAAAGGGAATAAAATTAGTTAAAAGTTCACAAAGGAAAAAAAAAAATATTTTCTTCTCCTCTGGACCACTGCAATTTTTGGCAAAACTTTCTTTTTGCATGGGGCAATGATTTATGTTTGATTAATCCAGGGCAGAAGTCCAAGAGTGTTACTCACAGTGCATGTGAAACACATTGTGGAAAACTCAGAGGAAAGCAACCTCCCCCCCCAAAAAAGGGAAGGACACACATGTTTAAGCTATGTGGTATAACATTATTGGTTAATCCGTGCTAGCAAACCTACTGAGGAGCCCAGATAAAGACAAGGTAATTCTTCAGGTATTTATTAATTTACTTTATAAATTAGATTTGACTGTCTTTGCAAATCTTTATATCCCTTTATAAGCAGGCTTTTTAGGACATGGAAATAATGGTCACCACCACTGCTTGGTTTTCAGAAACCTCTCAGCACCGAAATGGAAAAGGACATTTTTCCTGAGAAGCGGAAGGTGGACCACTGTCAAGATGTTGCCAGTGTTTGCACTGACTTGTGCCTCAGGATGAAGTTCAAACCAGTGTGAGCTGGGTCTATGTAGAAAAGGCATAAATGTGACTTTTGTAGGTTGAAGTATCAGACGGGAATGATAGATATTGGTAAAAAAAAAAAAAAGGGAAGCTAGAAATTATGGAGTAATTTGTATTCAAAGCTAGCCATATTGTGTTCTCTCTGCCCAGAGCCTGAAGGCTGATACTCCCCAGCAACCACTCTGACATTGTGGCCTCTTTTATTTACTACTTCTGTTTGTATTTGCTCTGTGGGGGATGATTTCTAGCTGAGGTGAAGCCTGGGCTGTCATGGGCTTGCCCACAGTGTGCCTCCCCTCTGGCCTGTGTGATGGAGAAGCGTGCCCAAACCAGTGCCAGCTCCTGAGTCCGACAAGCTAAATCCCAGGCTCTGCAACCGACGTTAACCCAGCGCTGAAAAACATGAGCCCAGCGAAGAGGAAAGGAAAGGAGGGAGAGGTATCCTGTTAATTAGCTAAGTCCAGCCTCGTGCCTGGCTGTGAGCTGTCAAAAAACATGATGTGAGCTCGGGGTCAGAGGCACACATCCCATGCAAATCCCAACTAAAAGCTTTCCATGGCTTTGTGGTTTCTGACTGTTAAGCTATGCAGCTACTGCAAATTATAATTATTGCACACTAAGACAAATCTCTCCTTCTGCTCTTTGTTATATACAGTTAAGTAGTTAAAACCCATTCATACGTGGCACCATATGCCCAAGACATACTACAGTTTATTTTCTGTTAATCTGCTCTCTACTTTAATCTAGTGATTTCCTATAACTAATGAAGCTGAGTAAGAAAAATGGAGTTTTTTTGATACTGAAACAGTTTAATGAAAAAAGACTTTAAACACTAAAAACATTATATGAAAACCTGTTACACAAGCTTAGCCAGGATAAACAGTTCATCTTTTTTGTTTAAATGTGGTGTTATTCTGGAAACAGATACGTAACTGAAAGCAGTCACTAGTCAGCAGCATCATGCCCCAGTACGCAAGACAGGTCACTATGGCTGAAGAGATATGGGGCATTGCCCTGGTCCTCACACTCACTGCTCTTCTGTGTGACTTCAAGAAGAGTAGCTTGAGCAAGAGGATGTTGTCTGGTTACTGTGCACACTGTTTTATGAGAGCGGCAGAGAGAACTGGGGTTGTTTAGCCTGGAGAAAAGGAGGCTGAGGGGAGACTTTATCACTGTCTACAACTACCTGAAAGGAGGGTGTAGAGAGGTGGGGGTCGGTCTATTCAACCAAGTAACAAGCGATAGGACAAGATGAAATGGGCTCAAGTCGCACCAAGGGAAGTTTAAATTTGATATTAGGAAGAACTTCTTTACTGAAAGGGTTCTCAGGCATTGGAATGGGTTGCCCAGGGCAGTGGTGGGTTCCCCATCCCTGGAGGTATTTGAGTCATGTAGACGTAGTGCTGAGGGACATGGTTTAGAGGGGGACTTGTCAGTGTTAGGTTAGTGATTGGACTTGATGATCTTAAAGGTCTTTTCCAATCTAGGTAATTCTGTGATTCTGTGATTTGTTAAGTTCTTAGAATCTACCAGTTTCTGTAGAGGCCTCAATGCATGACTGTAGCAAACAGCTACCAAGCATGCTAGAAATGCAAAATCTTGTGTCAAATACTAAAAACCTCTTGCTTTTACCTATAAGCAAAAGGTTACTCTTAGACACATCCAACTTGAGAAGCTAGTGGATAAAAACACATGGGTTACACTGTGCAAGAGAAAGTAATAAAGCCTTTGGCCTGTTGTACATTATAATACTTGGAAGTACTGGTACATGATAATACTTGGAAAGTAAGGGGAAAGGAATTAAAATTTAGGTAGGAGACATGGATGACACATTGAGAAACAGGCAAGTAGCAGTCTGGCTTTGAAGCTCCACTCCTCACTGGAAAAATGGATTTCACAGATCCAGACTAACAAGTTTGTAATATATTGCCCTAGATGGGGGCCTCGCTTTAAGCATTTTCACACTGTCCTGTTTGGTTTGCGTACCTTCTGATCAATGTTTGGCTGAGATATTGCTTTCTATTTCCATAATTCTGAGACTCATCCTTAGGCTGAGTCTGTCCTCAGCATAAGAAAAAGAATGGGATATTTACCTCTGGGGGCTAACAGTGGATTAAAGGGAGAAACCTCCCTCCCACGTGTCAGTGGAGTACTAGAAACACAGGCATGGCTACAAGGGACTGTCTGGCCAAAACCCCCTAAGCCCTGTATGAGAGCTAGGAAAGATCTTCATGTCACTACTATGGGACCAGGCTGCACGTGTGTATGAAACACCAACCAATATAGCTGATAGTTCAGTAGGACTAAGGGCAGAGAGTGCCGCTGCAAAAAGAAGTAGGTGGAACACGCTACAAGCTCAAATGATTTAAAATGTAAAATGTTGCAATAAAGGAGCACTTCTCTTTGAGGTACAGGAGATCGGCATCAGAAGCTGATATCAATTAATGCTAGAAGGAACATTTCTATACTCAAGAAGCCAACAAGGATTGGCCATCTACCAAAATGTCTTTCAATAATAGTTAAACAAGATTTTGTTGGTCCTTTAGTTAGCATAGTCTCTTAGGAAAGAGGTTACTCACTGGACATTTTCTACCTTCACAGTTTTACTGTAGTTTGTCTCCATACCTCTCAGCTACCAAGGAGAATTAATATATTGGGGTAATAAATTGCCCAATGTTTTAAAAGTTAAACTTCCCAAAAGACTATTGGATGTAGCAACTACAGTATTAACAGCAGGAAGAGACAATTATTTTCACTTTCCCTAGGAGCCTAGCACAGACAGGAAGAGATAATTTGTGTCTTCCAGTGAATTCCATTTTTAACAGGTCCAAGAAAAGTCCTGCAAACTGAGCAGTGACAGCGAGACTACTCACATGGGGAACAATGAGCAGGAGTCAATGCACTGGAATTAGAGGTTGTTCAAGACATGGAAATAAAGTTTGAGTTAAGAGCAGTCATACATGTAAACACATTATATGACCCAAGTTTTCATACTGAGGCAAGTGCTGAGTAGGATAGGAATAGAGTTGTGAAAGGCAGCAGTAGAGAAGGACTCAGATAGTAAGACAGAACCAAGAGTCCCTATGAGCTGCCAGTCACTTTGGGTGCAGTCTGGCATATACACAGGCAAGCGTGGGCATCATATGTGCATCAAACTGAACCTGCAAAATCAAGTAGTCAGCCATTGAAGTGACGTCTGCAACTTAAAAACAGAGAGGCTGGCTTGGAAAGTCCGTCCCTGAAGGCAATTTCTATCACTGTGATGTGTGAGGAATTATGCACAAGCATCACTGGGGCTTATGAGCTGCATAAATAATGTTCCATGTGCAACGATGGCTTGCTACCAATTGCTTTGAAATGTATAATCATGATTTTCACTTGCATTCATTAGAAATTACTGCCTGTGAGAGATCTGACGGTACTTTAAAAGAAAAAATAAATGCACGAGTGACCAAATCCACTTGCTCTAAATACAGCAGTAGGCGAAGCAGCCTGCTTTCATATTACCGGTATCTGCAAGGCTAACAGCTTCCGAGTTGCACATTGGTGTTTCATAAGAGCTAACGTCTTGCTAGCTGTTGAGGCCCTTCATGTTCAAGAACGAACAAAACATCCAGATAGACATAATCTCTGCCCCACAGTACGTGAGTCATTGACAGATCTTGCCAATGGACCAACTCTTCCATAGCAGTTACTCTCCAAGAAACATCAGTGATTTAAATGAAGATAATTCTGCTTGTCATGAATGTGAATCAGAAGAAAACCAGATCCACTTGTAACAGATGGTCAGAAGGTAGATTTATCCCCAAGTGATGTAAATCAGTATTTGTTAACTGCATCGCTAATCACTGCTCAGGAACGCCTCACTGCAAGCATTTTCCAGACACTGTGCAGGACCACATGGGAAGATTATGGCAGAGGATGAAAAAAGCAGGGGATCTCTGCGCTCCTTCTCCGGAAGCACCCCTCCGCACAAATCCAGCTCCACTGGCCACTGCAGGCAGTCTTCTTCTAAACTTTGCAGATTTAGACTTGCCAGACCCTGACATTGAGGGGGGTGGATGATTCCCCTTCATCTCACTGCTTCAGAGCTGCCCCCACTTGCCCAGTCTGGTAAAGAAAAAACCCTTTGTGCACAGCTCTGTCACTCTGAAACCACTAATGAATACACTTTTCTAACAAATGCAGCAGTGAAAGAAGATGACCAGGACCTGTTTCTT